GCGGGCACACTAGGATGGATAAGATTAGGAATGAAGATATTCAGGAGAAGGTGGACGTGGCTCCTATGGATGACAAGATCCTAGAAGGGAGGCTCAGATGGTTCGGGCATGTGCAGAGTAGAAGCCCAAATGCCCAGTATTAGAGAGAGGTGATCAGGCAGGACATGACGTGAATTCAGATTTTCGAAGACATGACCTTTGATAGGAAGGTGTGGAGGTCGAGCATTAGAGTTGTAGGTTAGGAGGTAGATGAGCATTTTTCTACTTCGTACCGGGTGAGAGACTAGTCTGATAGGTTTTGTCTTAGACTGCTAGTAGGTAATGTTGTGTTCAACTATTATTTCGTTTTGCATAGTATCAGGCCTTATTTACTTGTTATTGTTATTGTTTTTCATCTATTTTTCGATCCTTACATTAATGTTATTATTTCTATGATTTTTGTTGATGATATTGATTTATTGTCTTTGTTCGCCTTCTTGAGTCGAGGGTATTTTGGAAACAATCTCTCTACTCCCTCGAGGTAGGGGTAAAGTTTGCACACTCACTACCCTCCCTAGATGTTACTTGTGGGGTTACATTGGGTTGTTGTATTTTTTGTTGTTGTTGGTTTAAGCTTTCATAGTTTTTTCAAAAAGACCTCACCATTAAGAGATGCCTACATTTTATATGTAGGTTCCTAGTCTTTTCAGCTATCAACGTGAAACTTTATTCGCAGAAACAATAATTTCTTACTCGAACTAAGTTCCACGTGACTCATTACTATGATTCACGGGTCTCCCCCTCAAACTAAGTTCCACATGATCCATGACTATGTTTTTGTGTCAATTTCCGATATTCACTATATGCTACCCACATCGTCAACTAGCTCTTTTTGGTGTGCACGTCTCTAAGCTCGTAAGGGTAAGTAAACCGAACCCTCCACGTTCACTCGGCTATTGCCATACTCGTCCCCGCCGAACTTGACTCTAATACCAGTTGTTGGGCTAAACCGGCTCACAAATAACTCTTAACATGGTGCAATATTGTCTGCTTTTGAGTCAAGCATGCACACTTTTTTCCAAAAGGTCTTACACCATTAAAAGATTCATATATTTTATATATAGGCTATTAATTTAATCTTTTTATCTACTAACATGAGACTTTGTTCGCATATCCAGTATTGACCTTAGCTGGAAAATATAAGAATAAAATTTCATCTTCAGTAGTCTTAAGCAATGTCTAGATAAGAATGAAATTAAATAGAAGTTGCAAATCCAAAGATAAGCTCTTGAGACCACCTAGCTAGAGAGTCAAGACTAATAACTTTAGCTGGCTTTTTCTCCTCCGCAATTCTGTGGAATTTTCTGCCTTTCTGTTGAGTCATTCATTACTTGCAGTTGTTGGCTGTTTCATTAGGATAACGTCTCCGACTAGCATAATAAAAAGTTTGTCACACACAATTAAATAGGTTGCTCCTTTCATTTTCCTTTATAAGTAACTTGAGGATCCATGTGCTAAATAATTCTCTATCTTTTTTGAATATATTTTACTATATTTAAGAACAAAAATTATTACTCGTTATCTTCATCATCTTGTCGGGCTAAATTATGATTTTGTCAGAAGATTCAATATTTATGGCCCGTAAAGTTATTTTTGTTATAGTCCTTTTCACAAAAAACAATAAAAAGTTGAACAAAATAAAAAATTAGTTGGTCCGCTAAAATTAATTACATTCGCTAATTAAAAAGTATATAAAGTGTATATATTTTAGTACAAAATATATACATATATATAAAAGTATATATTTTGCCGGTTATTATTTTTATAAAAAATTAAAAATATACATTTCTCAAAAAAACAATTACACAAGAGATCGAAAAACAAAATGCATGAAATCTTTCTAGAAACATTTTCTTCTATTTAAATTATAACCGGTCATAAAGGATTATTTTTTTTGACTTTACTGGAAATTTTACTGAAATAATCAGACATCCATTTAAATTTCTGACAGGTCCATCTATAAATATCAATAGCCTATTAATAATCAGATCCCTGATTTATTTATAGCTCTAGACTTATAGTCCGTTTGGACATAAGAAACTTTTTACTTTTTTTCAATTTTTTACTTTTTTCAAAATCAACGTTTGGTCATAAGTTTTTCAATTTTCATTTGAAGATGCATTTTGGGATTTTTCGAAAATTTGAAACACTATAAAAAGTTATTTTTCAAAATTTTCCCTCAGATCACTCACAAAACTTCAAAAACAACCCAAAATTATATGTCCAAACACAACTCTAATTTTTAAATACCATTTTTACTTGAAAAATATTTTTCACGTTTTTTTTAGAAATTTACAATTCTTATGTCCAAACGCTCACTTAATTTCATTTGTTGATTTGTTTAGGCAAAATTATCCCTTAGGCTGGCTTAAGCTACAAGGGAGTTGAATGTGAGCATGTGAATTATTTACTCCTTAAGGTTCCCTCTTTGGCTTTTCGCCAATTGACCATTATGCATTTTCTTGTCTTTATTGTGAGTTTTTATCACTTCTCTTGCCACATCTTAATCATATAAGCTTCCTTTGTACTTTATTAGATCACTCCAAAAAACTTTTTCGTTCAATTTGCTTTAGCAAATGCTCAAATTACACTAGTAAATGTTATCTTCTTATACAGTTTTTCTCAATTGTACTGACAATAACTCTGGATTACTTTAATAGATAAAGATGCATTCCTAATTTTTATCAATTGCACGGGGCTAAAAATTACATTTTCTTAAAACTTCAGGGGCCATAGTGATTTGAAAAGGTGCGCATCGCATCTCGAAATTGCTTTACAAAACCTTTCTATAGAAACTTTAATCTAAATTATCTATGCCACATTGTTTGTTCCATATAATTTAAATTGATATTAGCAAATTGACGATGATTTTCGTGCTTAGAAAATATATAACAGAGATTTGGTACATAGACCATAGTTCGAGTTTAAATAGTCTTATAATCGCATTGTAATGTGCCAATTCGAGTTTTAATGATATTGGCACAGGGATTTGGTACATAGTCTTATAATCGCATTGTGCAGGTAGAAAGACCAATTCCGATAGACGCTCGGCTCAAAGCAAGCAGATGGTGTACTGAGAAAAAAATAGCTCTTACTGGCCAATTTCATTCTGTCTTTAAAAATAGTCATTGGGGTATCAAGTTATTAAACTATACGATGAAAGTTTGGGAGATGGTGATAGAAGGGAGGATGAGGAAGAGTGTGTCCATTTCCAAAAATCAGTTTGGTTTCATGTCGGGACGGTTGACTACTGAAGCCATTCACATTGTGAGGAGATTGGTGGAGCAGTATAGGGCGATGAAGAAGGATTTGCATATAGTGTTCATTGACCTCGAGAAAGCTTATGACAAAGTCCCAAGAGAGGTTCTATGGAGATATTTGGAGGCTATAGGAGTATATGTAACATATATTAGAGTGATCTAGGACATGTATGATCGATGGAGCTAAGACACGGGTTAGAACAACATGAGGAGACTCTAAATACTTCCTAGTTGAGATGGGGTTGCATCAGGAATCAACACTTAGCCCGTTTTTATTTTTCTTGGCAATGGACGCATTGACGCGATACATGCAAGGGGAGGTGCCACGGTGCATGTTATTTATAGATGACATAGGCCTGATTGATGAGATGCGATGTGGTGTTAACGAGAGGCTGGAGGTTTCGAGACATATCCTTGAGTCTAAGAGTTTTAAGTTGAGCAAGACCAAGATAGAATACTTGGAGTGTAAGTTCAGCGGTGTTACCTATGAAACAGAAGAGGATATAAGGCTTGATACACAAGTCATTCCCAGGAGATAGAGTTTCAATTATCTTGGATCTATAATTCAAAATGATAGGGAGATTGATGAGGATGTCACACATCATATCAGAAAAGGTGGATGGAGTGGAGGCTCGCTTCCAGTGTCTTGTGTGATAAGAATGTGTCGTTGAGACTTAAAGGTAAGTTCTACAAGGTAGTGGTTAAATCGACTTTATTGTATGGGACAGAGTGTTGGCCAGCCAAGAACACCCATGTCCAACAAATGAAGGTAGCTGAAATGAGTATGTTGAGATGGATGTGTGAGCATACTAGATTAGATAGAATTAAGAATAAAGTTATTCGGGACAAGGTGGGGGTGACCCCTATGAAGGAAAATATGCGAGATGCGAGGCTGGGATAGTTCGAGCATATTAAAAGGAGAAGCACATATGCCTAGTCAAGAGGAGTTAGAGGTTGGCCTTGGGGGTAGGAGGAAGGGTAGAGGTGGGCTAAAAAAGTCTTGGGGAGAGGTGATCAAGCGGTACATGACACAACTTTAGCTAACCGAGGACATGACCCTGCATATGAGGGTGTGAAGGTTGAGGATTAGGGTAAAAAGTTAAATAGGTAGTCGTGTGTTCCCCTTTGTCTTTATTAGTAAGATAATATTAGTGTTAGTATGGTACCCCTTTTATCCTTAGTTTGCTATTATCGCATATCTTGTTATGTTATTACTTGCCATCAGTACTCACTTAGTTTGCTACCAGTACTTCTTTCATATTCTCTATTGTTGTCTTGGATTTAGTTTTCTAAAATATATTGTCTTGTTATTATTTGCTATCGATACTTTTTTCATATTTTCTATTGCTACCTTCGATTTAGTTTTCTAAGTATATTGTCTTGCACTTACTTGTTATCAGTGCTTTTTCCATTTTCTTTAGCCGATGGTCTATCGGAAATATTTTCTCTGTCCTTCCAAGGTTGGAGTAAGGTTACGTACATCTTACTCTCCCCAGATTTCACTTGTAAGATTATACTGGATTGTTGTTCTCGAGTTTCACTTGTAAAATTTAAAATTAGTAAGAGAGTAGCTATTTGTAAAGTGGCTATTTTTGAATGTTTTCAAAACCAAAAAAAAAATGTAATTTGCCTCTCTTTAAAATGTTAGTGGATGTTGGTATCATGATCCAATAGGTATCTTCTTTTATTTTATTTTTTCCTCCGAAGATCCAATGGTATCAGCATGAGCCATCTTCTGAAGTGTTAACTGCAAACGCTTTATATACCCATTGATCCGTTTCTCAATTCTCTGCAAAAAAACTCACTCAAAATACTGATAAATTAACGAGAGAAAGAGAGAGGGAGTGGTGGTCCAAAAAAAAATGGAGAACCATAACTCCTCTTTCTCTAACTTAAAATCTTACCTCCGAGCACTTTCCGATACCCCAAACCGGTTAGCTCGCCGTGCCGGTTCAGTTTCGACTTCTTTCGAAGAAACAAGCCGAGTCAGAGCCCGGTCTGGTGGAGATATGAAACGGAGTCTCCAGTGGTACGACCTCGTCGGATTTGGCGTCGGCGGTATGGTTGGCGCCGGCGTCTTCGTTACTTCCGGTCGTGCTAGCCGTCTCTGTGCTGGTCCCGCTGTTGTCCTCTCTTACGCCATTGCTGGCTTTTGCGCTCTTCTCTCTGCTTTCTGTTACACTGAGTTCGCCGTTGATATGCCTGTTGCTGGCGGTGCCTTCAGCTATATCCGTATCACTTTTGGTCCGTTTTTCACTCCGAATTTATTAAAACAATTCGTTAATCAACACTTATAAAAATCACATTGTCTGTACTTTTTACTACTCCGATTAACTTGATCAACGTCATGGCGTAGTGCAGGTGAATTTCTAGCGTTTTTGACTGGTGCGAATCTAATAATTGACTACGTATTATCAAATGCTGCGGTGGCAAGGAGTTTCACTGGATATTTATGTACAGCTTTGGGCATAGAAAGTAAATTGAAAATCACCGTTAGTGGATTACCCAAAGGATTCAATGAGATTGATGTTGTTGCTGTCTTAGTTGTTTTAGCCCTCACCGTAATCATCTGCTACAGGTTCGTCATAATCATTAAAACTCAATCCAATCCAATTCAATTTTATTTTATCAAATAATCTTCGAATAATATTTTTTTGTTGTTATTTTTTGCAGTACACGAGAGAGTTCGATGTTGAATATGGTATTAACGGCGTTACATTTAGTGTTCATAGTATTTGTGATAGTAATTGGATTTACGAGAGGTGAAACGAAGAATTTTACAAAAGCAGGGGATCAAAATCATGCGAGTGGATTTTTTCCATTTGGAGCTTCGGGGGTGTTCAATGGGGCAGCAATGGTGTATTTGAGCTACATCGGATACGACGCCGTTTCAACAATGGCTGAAGAGGTCAGAAATCCAGTCAAGGATATACCTGCTGGCGTCTCGGGTTCCGTTATACTCGTGACAGTTCTTTACTGCCTCATGGCTGCTTCTATGTCCATGCTCCTCCCTTATGATATGGTATAACTTAATAATGCACCTTTTTTTTTTTCGCTTAAGTTAAATTACATTTTTGCCCTTAGTATTATGTATCTGATTGCACTTCAGTCTCAAATAAATTGACTAATTTTACTCACAACTCTTTCAATAGTCCTCCTTTATTTGGATTTAAATTAAAACTCCCGGCAATGTAAGCAAACTCAAATAAATGTAAAAGAGGTTAATATATAATATTTAAGTTATATATATTGACAGTTTAAATATTATTTATATTATGATTGTATTTAATATGTGATAATAGATTAGATATCCTTTTTTTTCAAATTAATGACTAATATAAAATGTTGATTCCATATTTATTGAATTGTTTGATGAACAGATTGATCCAGATGCGCCATTTTCGGGGGCATTTATGGGATCAGACGGCTGGAGATGGGTATCTAATGTGATAGGTGTAGGGGCCGCTTTCGGTATTCTAACATCTTTGTTAGTGGCGATGTTGGGACAAGCTCGATACATGTGCGTGATCGGACGGTCCAGCGTGGTTCCTGCTTGGTTTGCTAAGGTCCATCCTAAGACATCAACGCCTGTTAACGCTTCCGCTTTCCTCGGTACGTTTTAATCAAATCCTTATTTTAATACCACGTAAACCTCTCAAGCTGATATTTAATGTCTTTAATTACTAAGGGATCATTTGATTAATCGAGATTAAGATAGTGAGATTATTTAATATCTTAATTACTAAGGGATCATTTGATTAATCGAAATTAAGATAAGATTATAATCTCAGGATAGCTTCTTTTCGATCGAAAAGAATATTTGCTTAAACGTATTACTATTTGTTTCTCAAGCTTCATTAATTGAATTGAAATAATAAGTATTGGCTTGGGGAATAAAAGGATAAAGGTCTTATTATTTGTTTAAAACGTCAAATATTATAAAACTATTTGTTGTGTTACGTATTTTCATGTGCATCACTCGGTAGAAATGAGTGTGTATGTGTTCTCCTGCTATTGCGTGAATGCGCTCTTTGTTAATTAGCTTGGCCGTTGTGAGAGTATGGGGGTCCACAAAAGAACCGTTTCGGTTCGGTTAAGGCGATAGCTTTACGTTTTAGGGAAATGCTCATAAGTTTATCATGGGACACTATCATATTCGGTTAACTATTTTTTTGCGTTTTGTGGGGTCTATGGTTTCATGTCAAGACGATGAGTCCCTCACAATCTCACAAAGATTTGACAAATATTTAGTGAAAGGGGCTTTGACTGGTTTTCTATGTGGGTCCATCATTGGATAAAGCTTGGCTCATATCTCAACGTCTGTCATAATATCGCCTTTTTGTTTTTCCATTTAGTGACATTTGTAGCCACTGTATATACGAAAAACTTTATATTAGGTACCACAAATGTCAATTGTGTGAGATCTTATTTTTATGGTGTTTGATAATGATAAAAAACGTTTAAAAACACTTACATTTAGGTATGAAAGTACAAAAATAAGTCAAAAAGACAAATTGGGTATTACCAAGTTATGATTTACTATTTTTAGCTTATAAGTTACTTTAAACCAATTCAAACACCTTTTCTGTCTCACTATAAAGTGGACCAATTCTTACATATTTGGGTCCACAAAACCTTGCCTTCATATTGTTGTGAGACAAAATAAAACCTCACACAACTAGTATCAGCTGATGTGAGACAAAAATAAAATATTTCACTCTTATACCATCTAAAAGTTTTAAACTAATGAAATGAAATATATGTATTTCAAGCAAGAACATATTCCGTATAAGTTTAAAATAAGTTGTATTATATCCTGAAATAATCTCATATTAGTGGTGATAATTACCGCCCAAAGGGGAATTAAAATAAGTTGTCTATGAACTAATTCGTGATAGTAATGCATTGTATACACCTTACAAATATAATAAGTAAGGTTCCTTATTAATTCGAGAAGGCCAGGAATGTCTAACTGCAATTATTGGTCCAAACAATATATAATTAGAAAGGTTCTTCATATCATTATCTAAACGAATGTTCTCCACATACTTTGATTCACTATTGAGTCACGTTTTTTAGCTCAGCAAAGTATAAACTTTTTTCAGTTGCTGACCAATCTTGAATTCTTATTCTTTGTAAAGATTGTGTGTGTGACTGACAGTAGTGGAACACGAATTTAGTAAATGGGAATGTTAGATGACTTTGGAAAAAACAGAGTTGAAAATGCAATATTAAATCCTTTGTTTTTACAAAGTACCCTTTTGAAGATCTGGTCATGTTCTTTTCTCAGACCCATAATCTCGACAGGAATTTGTACAAGCCGCAACTTTTGACTGAAATGACACATTCTTACCAATTTCAGAAATAAATTCTTGCTACAATTCCTTGTAGGGGAATTCTTACTATTGCACTAATACAAGGATCTGTTTGATCTTTTCAGGAATTTGCACAGCAGCAATAGCCCTTTTCACTGATTTACAAATACTACTGAACCTTGTATCAATCGGGACACTATTTGTGTTTTACATGGTAGCAAATGCTGTTATCTACAAACGTTACGTCTCAGTTGGAGTAACAAACCCATGGCCTACCCTGTCATTCCTTTTTTGCTTCTCTTTAACTTCCATCTTATTCACCCTTTTATGGCAATTTGCACCACCAGGCAAGCCCAAAGCCTTAATGCTTGGTGCTTGCACAGCTATTGCCATCGCTGTATTACAACTATTCAACTATATGGTACCACAAGCGCGAAAACCTGAGTTTTGGGGTGTCCCATTAATGCCATGGATTCCTTCCATATCTATCTTCCTCAACATATTCTTGTTGGGTTCACTTGATAGGCCATCCTATGTTCGATTCGGATTCTTCTCAGGACTTGCTGTACTATTGTATGTTTTCTACAGTGTTCATGCAAGTTTTGATGCTGAGGAAGATGGGTCTCTTAGTCAAAAGAGCATTGAACTTGTGAAGGAATCTATTGAAAACCAGGACCATACTCTCAAAGTGTAAAAATGTTCTCTTTTAGCTGACTTTTTCTTTAGTTATGACTTTTAATTTTTAACTTTTTGGGAGGGGCTTACTGTTATGGATATTTTAACAATAGAAATGGGAGAGGAAATATAGGCTGCAAGATTTTGCAGTGAGCAAGTTGTATAGTTTGTTTCCATTAGTGGGTTCAAGTTGTGACTTGCGATCCCTTGTATATTTTTGAGTTGGTTAATTCAGTCAACTGTTGATGCTACACAAGCTCACGTGCCACAAAAACATAGGAATCTATATCTATAAACATAAAAAGGGCCAATTGGGTTGATGTAGTGTGTTGACTACCATTTGATATTCAAGTCTAAATTCTCTTCAACCCACTTGATTACACATTTGCAATTGGACAGCATTTGACTTGAAGATAATAATATACAAAAAAGCGTATATTAAGTTTTAAAAATGTATGTGTTTGGACATGGACTTCATTTAAAAAAGTATTTTATGAAAGTTGAAGATTTTAAAGTCTTCACTTGAAATAAATTTTCAAATCACAATTTCAAAATTTCACTTAAAATTTAAAAAGTATTTCAGTTGCACTTCAAAATTTTCATTAGCTAACTTCAATTTACAAGTAATTATTTCACTTTTTAGTTCTAATGTGACATCATGAATTCAAAGTGGCCCTAATTTAAGTGTGCGACCTCTGCAGGATTCCAATTAGCATGAAAGTCCATTTATTGTGGAATCTATCACTCGTAAAATGAAATGAAAATAAGATATAGATCCAGTTAAAAGGTTATCCCTTTTGGAGAATAAAGAGGGACAAGGGAAAAAAGAAAGCTTTAAAGATGAGGACGAAACAAAAAGAAATATGGAGATAAAGAATAATTATCGATTACCATCAAGAATTGTAGTGGTATGAAAGATCTCTCTATGATTAATATTTCTGGTTTCAACACTAAAAATAGAAAAAGTCATTGTACGAAATTTTCTTCCTTTAACATGAACAGCGTATTAATCAGAACTCTAATACGAATACCGAATATTGAGCGAAAAAATCACAAGAAGAACTATTTCAAAAGACAAGAATACCTTGATGACAAGAGATAAACATGAGAAAATAGGGGAAAAAGAAAGCATGGGGCATGTGGCCAAAGCCTGCGGACTGCGGTATGTTACTATCATCCAATGCGGCGTTTGGCTTTTTCTATCGCAATTCTATCCTTTTTGGTCGGTTTCTCAAGTCTATTGGACCTCCCCCCTCAATCCAACCCCTTTCTTCTTTGTAATTTATATGGATCATATGGATTATGGAGTCCCCATTCATAAAACCAAATCTCTCTTTTCATGATAATTTTTAAGAAGTTATTGACATGCCCTAATTCAGGATAGGATAGCTACAATGCGGACATGAGGATGTTCACCTTCATTGAAATATATATATCAAACTTTAACATTTACCATAGCAATCATGTTCAAACAAAACTGGTCACCTAATTAAACTAAGGCGGAGAAATTTTTATTTTCAGCTTCTTGCATATCTTTCGGTATATAATCATTTGGTATCGTAATCATTGGTCCGACAAATCCAAATTTCATTTGTGTACTTTTACAACAACAACAATAACCCAGTATAATCTCACTAGTGGAGTTTGGGGAGAGTAGTTTGTACGCAGACCTTACCCCTACCCTGTGATAGAAAAGCTATTTCATTTGTGTACTTTTACGAGGGATTTAATTCTCAATTCCCAGGCTTAACCTGAGACTTCTGATTGGAAGAATCTCATCCATACCACGGTACTCCAGGATAGATAGTTTTGCCCGTACATGGAATCATGGATGAGATAAAGGTTCCTAGCTAGCTAAAACATCTTAGAATTCCATGAAAGGCATATGCCAAGGAACTATAGTTTATGTTCGTCTATCCAATTGGTTGGATTCCACTACGAAAGTCAGAAATGATAAGAAAGTAAATCTTTCCAATTGATTTTGACATGAAAGCTGTTCATGCTCGGGTGCTTTCAGTATTAATCCACTTTTTATACGTATCTAAATATTTGAGTGAATAAATGTTGAGTTACTGTGCATATTGAAAATAGTGTCACAGTAAAACAAATTGTTTGCATAAGATATAAGCTAACAAATTCAACTTTTGTCTAAAGAAAAGCTAGAAATTATTTCCTATGGACTACGAATTAACTACCTTATGAGATTGCCTTTTGTACATTATCAGATCATTTAAAATGATAATTACAAGTTCAATCATATTAAGTAGAAATATGAAATAAGTAACTAAAAAAATAAAATAAATAACATCACACTACAACATATTAAATTACAGTAATAGAACACCATTACAAAAAAGATCAAAATTAGGGAAGTTTAATTTGTAATGCATCATCGGTGATGTTTCAGTTGGGTCAAAATTACAAAGTAGAAATGCTTGATAATGATGCCAACTTGCAAATTACAAAAGAAGCCACGAGATTTTCATGCACTTGTCCACTAAGATATACTATATAAATGGATGGTGGAAAATATTCCACCAATTTCTATCTTTAATAATGTTCTCATTATGCTGCTGAGATTTTTTATGAATTTTAGAACCAACTTATATTGCTATCATGATTTTAATATCACTTTAATTTACTTTCTTCCTCCGTCTTTCTTTTTGCTAATCCAATCAAGGATTAAAGCCACACTAAAACAAGTTGCTCGAATATAATCACATAAATAACATATCATTCTTTAACATGTGATAGAAAAATAGGGCTAGAAATTAAACCAACCACCAAGGATTATCGTGAGAGTAGATAGGATTACTCCATTCTTAATCAGAGGTCTTGGTTTTGAGCTCTTGAATGAAAAAATTCTGTTGGGAATACTTTCTCCTTTAATGAGTGTTAGTCGGTACGAATATGAATTAATCGAGGCTCCAATATAGGGCAATTGAAAATTTCTTAAACTATGAAAGGGCGTAGGTACCTTATCTCAGGCGGTGTCACGTGACGCCGCTTCATCAATTTTTTCGTCAATAAGTATATATAGATCATAAGAAAAATAAAAAAAATTGGTACAAATATAAAAAATGACAATATTTGTCGTTACAATGATTTATTTATTTGTTCACTACTTTAAATGTTAATACCGTTTATAAAAAGTCCTACGTACCTCATTGAAACCATGGTGAGACAATGTAGGGTAATTTGTGAAATTGTCTTTTCTTTCTCTTTTTACTTTTGAAAGATGTGGGAGACAAGTTGTCACCTTCAACAATGACCAATTTTAGTGGTCTCATGACTCTCCTTTCATCACTAAATCAAAAATTATGGATAACTTTATGTATACTCTGACTTATGAGATTATATTGGTGGCTGCTTATCCACCAGAAAGAAGGCTTTGGATGAGGAATTCATGAGTGGAATATCAAGTTTTCTATCACTGTCTTACTAATCTTAGTCAAAGATATGCTAATGATACTTGTTGCATCTTGTATCTATATTGGTAATGATATTTGTGATAAAATTTGGATGATAGACAATGGAGGGGCCAATTTTATCTGCTTGTCCCATAACCTTTTATGGTCCCATGATTTTTTTAGAAAAAAAAAGAAGATTAAATCCTTTTACAGAATGGACTTTTTTTTTCTACTTAGTATATTCTCCAAAGTCAAATGCTTGCTAGTGAGACAAGAATTATGGTTAGAGGCGAATCCAGAATTTGAAGGTCGCGGGTGCACTTTTATATTCAACCACAAACTATTTTTGTATACAGGGTGTCATTACTATTATATTACTATTTTCTAAAGATATATACATGTACACATACATTTTTTGTTGAACTTTTCGGATATCGGTGATCCCTCTCTTTATAATATAGGTTTGCCTCTAGTTATGGTGGATTTTTTCAGAGAAAACAAGAGTTCGCAAGAAAAAAGATGGCTAATTGGTTCTTTCTAGTTTGAACCACTTGTTAAGTGTAACTCTCACGTATTGAGTTGTACCAAAAGAGCTACGTGTATGGTCAATTAAACGAGTCAAAAATATAAAAATCGAGTTCAAATTCTAATAAAGACATAAAAGTTATTTGTAGGTGATATATGTTTATCTACATAAATTTTAACTGCCAGAATTACTCGATGTTTATTTTGACATGATATAATAGATATCTAATGAAATAATAGAATGTGTATAAGTTAGCTCGAACACACCATTGAAAGATAAAACTAAGTCTCATATAAATGTCGTTATCAAATCTAGCTTATAAAGATTTCCATGTTCATCTTCAAGAGAAAGACTAATGAAAGCAACACTTGTGATACTGAATGTAGCATCTCAAATTTGGATAAAAAATGAAGCAAAGTAAACTAGCTGTCACTATTATCTGTAATGTTAGGATTGTGGAAGGGAAATGATGGGAAATTTTCTTCTTTTTTTTTTTTTTATTATAAAAAAACTAGAGAATTTGCGGCCGCTATTCTTTGGGTGTGTTCTGGTAAATCCCGCTCCAGTATAATAGCTCACAAACTATATTGGAAAAGTAAATTGCACTAGGCAAGCAACGTGCAATGAGCTCGACCGAGAAAGCATCTCATTTGGAAGACTTGCTTAACCAACTCAGCCACCCTAGCGGTTATTTCTTCTTTGATTATTGATATTTCCCTGTTCTTTCTCTTTCCCATTATATAAACAAAGGAAGACATATAAGAAAACAAAATTCTTGAATTAATAAACAATAATTATGGTGAATATGGTCATTAATCTTTATTTCTCATATATTATTGCCCGTTTAGGCTACTGTACCCTGTGGAAAAACGCAAGTGCCTTTCAACTTTACCTCCATTTAGTGGTCTAGTGAGATTTTTAGAATCACGTACACTAATAAGCACTTACCTAATTTTTTTCATTTTGGTACAATTTTGGATCGTCAATACAACTAATTAAAGTGTTCGACCTTTTGAATGTGGTACATGTCTACCCACGAAGGAAAATGTTTGTGGATTCTTACATCTTAAATGTTTGGTTATTTTAATCAGATCCATTCGATTAAAGACAGATATAGAACGAGTTTTTTGAATCAACTGAATTTATTGCTTTCAGTTCGAATTATGTAAAAGTATGTAAAAATAATTTCAAATAAAATTATACTCATTCTAAATTTACTGATTCTAAATTCTAGACTCGCTTCTGCCTAATTTGAACATCTAAATATCGGAAATTTCTTAATTTTTTTTAGACGAACATTTCTTAATTATCATTTTGAGACGAAAAATTGTATTGGTTTGAAAATGTCGACGTACTACATAGGGCTTAGTAGCCAAATTCTCACGATCCTTTGGGATGTTGCTTCCAAATTCTGGTGTAAATTATTTTTGCAAAACATTTTCGAATGAGCTCAAAACTTAAACAATAACATAAAAAGATCCTAGCAATTCACCCAATAATGGTGTACAAACCAATTTAAAAAGGCCATGAAAAAGGTTAAGGGTAAAGTACAGAAATAGCCAATTTAAACTCAAACTTACCAACCTCAAGCCCAAAATTAGACACTTACCAAAAGTAGCCAAAAATTAGAGATACACACAAGGAAGGATTTTTCCATCAGAGAATCATGCTAAAGCTCTTTCTTCCTTCCCTGATTTTCAAGCGTATCAATTTCACAGAGATCTACATTCTGTAAATCACGACATTCTCTTCTAAAAAATTCTCAAAAGGAGCTCCAAATTTCACTCAAAAATCGATCAATTTCACTATAGAAGCAACAATTTCCTTTCGTGATTTCTCTGTAGATACAACTTTGATGAAGGAACTACTAACTACAATCAAAATCAATCAAGGAATTAGTGAGTTTTGGCCTAATTTCAGCTACTTCAATGGCAAATTTACCAATTTTTATTCAGTATGGTGGCCGATGGAATGTTGACAACAGTTTTGTAGATTACAATGCCGATGATGTAATAGTTACTCCAAATATACGTTTTGAAGATTTTGTAGACGTGATTTCGAAACAACTTATGATAGATACTTCATTGAATGTTATTGAAATCAAATATACTATCCAAAACGGTTCTCCACCAATAGTGATACACAATAATATGGGTATATCTTGAGCTGAAAAAAGCTCAAAATTTACCATGTATCCCATTTGTATAACATCGAGTGAAAAGGATATGGATATGATGTGCTACCATTCACATTTTGTTGTGATTTTCTTAGAGTGTGCACAAAGCTCAATTATACAGGAGAGATACAATGGCGATACAATTAATATGATTGAGTTTAGGGATGGAGGAGACTGACAGAATACCGAATCTGATGAAAATACAATAATAACTGACCCTCAACATATAGATGTAGAAGAAGGTCAAATTTATAAAGATAAGGCTACGATAGTCAAAGTCATGAAGCACTTGGCAGTAAAGGAAAAATTCAAGTTTAAGGTGCATAGATCAAGTGAAAGCAGGTATCAAAATATTTATTGTATAATTATGTATCTCAATGTATATCGTAGTTGACGTTAGAAGCATAATTATGCAGAAAATAAGTTGATGCTTGTAAGTTTGTGGCTGTACACCTTTAAGTTGTGGTTGTCACCGTGTAGTACTGTATAGTCGTTGTATTTTTTCATCTAGTATTATTGATGGCAGTGTGTATCACTATATATCATTGTATTTCATGTCGCTCTGTTTATTGATGGAAAAGTTTATATCCGTGTCGTAGGTACTGCCTAGTGTGCATCAACAACAACTGCGATTGGTGTTTTAAGTCTTCGAGCTTGAAAAAAGCAAAACTTTTCAAGGTCAGAAATTTCAGCAAACTGCACTTATGCCCGATGAAAGACAGATCTTACGCACAATGTCAAGCTACTGCAAAACTCATCGGCAATCTTCTGATAGACAAGTATAAAGACCCAAAAATAATATACACTCCTAATGACATAATTGGAGACATGAACAAGCAGTATGGTTTTCAAATGACATATATGCAAGCATGGAGATCGAAGGAATATGCAGTTCAACTACTGAGAAGGAACCCGAGCGAATCATATGAAAAGCTGCCAAGCTATTTTTATATGCTGGTTATTACAAATCATATGTTAGTGGTAAGTTTGAAAAAAACAGAGGAAAACTTGTTCATGTATGCTTTCGTTGCACTATATCTGTCTATAAAAGGATGGCAGTATTACAAACAGGTTGTTGTTGTAGATAAAACCTTTCTTAAATCGACATACATTGGAACATTATTGATAGCATCCACACAAGATACTCAAATATGTTTATATGATTCAATTTATTAGGTAGTATCCTATCACTCGCATATGCCATAGTAGATTCAGAGAATAATGCTTCCTGGGAGTGGTTTTTCGCGAGGTTCAAGGATGCATTTAGGGAAAGGGAGGTAATGTGCATAGTCTCGGACATGCATGAAGGCATTGAAAATGCAACGGTAACATTGTATCCACAAGTACCTCACTGTGTCTGCATATGGAATCTATGGAATAATGTAAAAAAAAAATACAAGAAGAACCATTTGCAGCTCAAAGACATATTCTTTGCTATGGCCAAAGCATACACAATTGAGAAGTTTAATTACCACATGGTAGAGGTAGAGAGAATTGATAAGAGGGTCAAAGATTACTTAATCAACGTTGGGTATGAAAGATGGTCAAGAGCACATTCCACTGTCAATAGAACATTGACAATGACTTCAAACATTACGGAGTCGATCAATGCAGTGCTCAAGGCTGCTAGGGAACTCCCAGTATTGCCTTTGCTAGAGTACATAAGGCAATTGGTCGGACGATGAAACGTTATAAACCAAAAGAATGCAATAGAGTCATTTACTGATCTTGGAAAAAAAAAATGATACAATGCTGATGGACAATCTCGAATTGTCACATCGGATGAAGGTATGACTAGAATCTGTAGATACTTGTACATATAATATGTAATCATGTCGAATTCACGGATTTATTATATCTTGAACCCTTTATGTGATTATGTTAAACTAGTGTCCACCTGCACGGCAAAGGGAGACCAAATTGATTAAACCTAACATTTTTTAATATTCATTATTTGCACAAAAGCAATATTATAGTGTTCAAGTAATAAATGGTCTTATCTCTGTTACCCGAGGCTTGAGGTTTTCTGTTTCTTTTCAAAGCTGGTTGGTCTACCTTTATTCTTTGTTTCTTCTGGGGCATGCAAGAAATTAGTCATTATGTAAGCAAATTGTTCAACTTTTAGGCAACTACCAGCATGTATATAAGGCTTTGAATTTAATGTAGCATTTATGCCTACCCCACTGCTGAAATATTATTTACATGATATTAAGCTATTTTGAATCTTGTAGACTCTCCAGTATATGTGTTTTGAGGGCATCTGCTTTGTCACCACTAATGATAGTTGATAAATTTTGTAGGTGACCCCTTCGACGAGTTACTTATATTCAGTACTTGACAAGGGTAAGCAGAGAATGGTGTTCCTAAAAGATCGAACTTGTAGCTGTGGAAGGTTTCAGGTGGATGAGCTGCCATGTGCACATACTTGGGTAGTATTAAAATACAAATACATTGATCACATTGAGTATTGCTCAGTGTACTACACCAGGAAGTACCTATTGAAAACCTATGAAATTTCAATTTATCTGGTTCCTGATGAAAGCACATGGAAAATTCATGCAGAAGTTCTAGATGAAAACATCTTGCCACCAGATGTGACTAAATCAATAGGAAGGCCAGGGAAAGGGGTGCAAGCCAATATCTAAAAGGTAACGAAAAAGGTCGATTTCATGTGGATAGTGTGGAGAACAAGGTCACAACAGAAAAACTTGTAGAAATAATCCAAAGAGAGGATGAAATATGTCAAACTCAGAATTACTTGTTATTTTACTTTACTTAATATCATAGAGATTTAGAGGAATCCAATATATCAAGAACTTTATCAATGCAAAATGTCATTTGAATTTTAGATATAAATAAATATTTGATCTATCATTTAAAATCGTGATGCAAGTGTATTTTTAAATTATACATATGTTTGATTAAAAAAAAGTTATATCATCTATGTATCATATTTGTAGCTCTTATGTATCATCTATGTATCTCTGTGTATCTGTAAATTATACATATGTTTGATTAAAAAAGAAGTTGTATCAGCTATGTATCATATTTGTATCATCTATGTATCTCTTGTGTATCAGCTATGTATCTCTGTGTATCGGCTCTTACTCATGTTTGTATTTGTGTAATAACAAAGCTAACTAATGAAAAACAATCGTAGCAGCTAGAAAACTGTGCAAATAGTTTTAGAAATTTGCAAATAAGAGTGTGGCTTCATCAATACATATTTCGAAATCAAACAAACTGCAGAACTCATTGTGAAGAAACTAACTGTGCAGCAATCCAAAATGACTGTATCATCTATGTATCACGTATGTGTCATATATGTATCATATATGTATCATATGTGTATCATGCGTGTATCTGGAAGAGATAGTGCATCAGAAACTACCATATATTTTTCATATCTTGAATTCACAACACAAAATCAAGGGAGAAAACACCAAAATAAACTAAACTGCAACACCCCAATATTGTACTAAAACTCATTAAAACTTTATAACATAGCAGACATCACATTTGTCGTACAAATCTTTAAAGTATTCATAAAATTCAAATACAACCAAATCTGATCCGTCTTACAACAATGACAACGTTGCAGAACACAATACAAAAAAATATTATTGAGTTCATCCCACAACAATGACAAAGGTAACTACTTCTTCCGCTTCTGCGACTTATTCTGTCGACCAATAATCTCATCATCACTTTGCGCGTTCAGTTCCATCTTCTTTCTAGAATAATCCCACGAGAGAGCATTGCATTTTTTAGGAGGCGTCTTGACCTCAATAAAATACTCGGCAAATGATGCCGCAAATACACCGCAATCACTACAAAAAATAAAAATAACAACAATTATCAAACTAAAGAATCTAAAAACAAAACAGATTGTGTTGAAAGAAATTCATACGCTTCGACTTGTTGAGGCAGTCCTTCAACCAGTTTTACATCAAAAAGGGTAATCAAGTCCTTTGATTTGTTGACACCAGTGCGCCAATTGATATCTTTTTTGTTTACATAGAAATGCGTGTGCACGAAAAAATAAGGCAGCAACACAGAATACTTGTGCATTGTGTTATGAACATTGGCTTGATGAACAGCTCCACCGCGCATAGAGTCATACACATAAATGCACCTATCATTGAAGGACATCACAACCATTATCCAATACCATTATTCCGCAACATTAATTGGTATTAAGACGTGCTAGACAATGTGCCATGGAACATTGGCATCCAAGACATACCCCTGAATATACTCTGCAATGACATGTTTCGGATTGCACACTTCACTATCTCCATCTGTATCAATAAACGCCTGTCACAACTCATTAATTTTCTCGTCGAAGTACCAATCTGTGGTGATGAATGTTACAGGTAGGTCTTTGTCATACTTTCCCTTCTTCCTCAAATAATAGAACAAAGCATCAATGTGCTAAAATAAAATATAACAAATAATTAATCACTGAAGGCTCTAAGCTTTAAGCAGCTATGCTTTTCAAACCAAATTCACAGAAAACAAAGGAAAATTAATGCTCACTACTTCTCTTTTGCCACGCAAGATAGCAATTAATAATCTAATCTAACTTAAGAGGCCTGATCACGTGTACACTAGCTAAAGTTTAAAAAAACTTTAAAAGTAACTTCTTACATACCGAGTCATACAAAGGCTGACCATTATATGCCAAAGTGTAAAACTATTTTTTGTCTTCAACATGATATACACCAAGATCATAAGCAAGATTAAGTTCACTAACATTGTTCGGGTAAATTTCATTCCTGGTAACAGATATACACAAAAGAGATACAGTGATTTGATATAAAATAATGCTACAAATGACAATATATTAAAATATAAAACTGAACAAAACTCAGAAGTTGAAAACATACTTCTTTCTGGACTTCCCTTATTAGACCCACATAACAAATACATTCAACAAAGAGCTGTTGACGCCAATTCCGATTTTGCTTTGAAAAGGATGCTTAACAACATAAATTTACTTTTTTTCATTCGCTGCAATAACACCAGTACTGGATCCTGAATCAAACACAATAATGAATGGAGACTGCACGGCCTTTGCAGGATATCTCTTTCTTCTTTTCATTTGTGGCGCAACTTCAGGAAGTAATTCAGGCTGGTACAGAACAATCTGAGCTTCAGAAACCTCTTTCTCAGATTGTTCCTTCATCTTCTCTCCCACCTCATCAACACTTGTAGTCACACAAACAACGCCAGTCTGAGATTCAGGAACCTTTCTTTCTCAGATTCTGCCTCCATCTCCCCTGCCGCCTCATCTGCAGTCTCACCAATAGCGCGAGCATGCGCTACATCTGTTGTGAAAGTTACTTTAGCAATGAACATGTTAACTTTCACACCAGAAGGTTCTTCCATGATATTGACATCTAACCGATCTGTTGTATCGGGCACAATGTTGTTACGATGATGCGCACTAGTATCTCCTTGAGAAAATGGAACATCTTTGCCTTCACTTCCATCGACTTAATTTTTTTAAAAAAAGAATGGAATTATCAAAAACAATAAAGAAAAGAAAAAGGAAAAGTGCAGAATGCACAACTAAACACACCTTACAACCATCCATGTCAACATCTTCATTGCCACCAAACTCCATATTGCTCACAAAATCATTATTGTCTTGACGACCATTGGTGTCTTCCTGTGGATGTGCACCATATTTATCTTCGCTTGCACCAAACTATTTTAAAAAAAAGAATACAATAAGTTAACTCAAAAAATAAAAGAAAATGCACAATGGAAAAGAAACACATACCTTGGAATTTATCAATTCAAAGACTTCCTTGAATTTATCAGAAACATATTCCATGAAGGACTTTAACTGCTTATGGAACTACAAAAGGAAACAAATAAGAAAAATAATAGACTTTGAATATACATTTTTAACAAAACTTTCAAAGAAAAAATATATAAAAACCTAACACAAACCTGTTTAACATCAACTTTCAACTTCTGCAACTCACGGTCATAATCAATAGGTTGGACACCCGGCGCCTTTTTTGGTGGGACATGCTCCTTAATCTATTTCGGGGGTGGTGTGAGAAAATCATCGCTATCATCAATAGGAAGTTTTTCCTTGTTACGTGATGTCAAATATTTTAGATACTCATTCTTAACTTGAACATGCAAAGTAAATCTCCTTAGCTCTTCAGTTGTTTGAGAAATATTTTTAAACTACAAATGTAACAAAAAGTGCTTCAGTCCTAGATATATCAAAGATGTATAAAAACTGTATATTTGATATATCACAATGAATTACAGTGTATCATATATGTATAACCCATCAATACATAAAAGCTGGTACCTTATTCCCTGTGTTGTTGAAGAAACTAGTAGAGAAGTCCTCACGTGTTGGCCTGTCTGTCATTTCTCACTTCAATATGCGTGGTATATGATCTCCAACACGAACAATAAACTTTTTATCAACTATAATGCAACATTCATAGAACCACACCTATAGTGCAAGAGGAAATCCACCAATCCTATAAAACTCAGACTTTCCCCTCAACCTGTCCCTCACAGACTTCATTAGAGCTCGAAACACATTCTTACCCCAGGGAAAGGACAAATACTCACTACTCTCGACAAGATGTAAATCACGTTTACTTATAAATGTCTTCTGAGCCTGAGTAGACATTAGAAATGTGTTTATGAAATAAGTGATTGCAATATTCTTCTCAAAACAATCAATAAGCGACTTCTTTGACACCGCTTCAAAATGAGAAAAATAAGTATCCACCAATATATTGGATCCACTGAAGTTACCCTCAACATGTTGATTTCTACAACAGTTTAAACCACTTGCAACACCAAATTCCCGAAGACCAAAACGTAAAACACATTCGTCATTCAATATCACATAAAATTGATCACACTTATCTTGAACCAACTCCCTTAACATTAAAAAATGAATCAATTGTGCTTGGATAGCAACTCAAGGTAAATCAAGGAAATAGCCAAAACAGTTTCCCTAAACATCCGAAGCTGGACATCAGTCAACTTTGACTGTAATACTATATCCATATTAGTGTATGATGTCCAATGAGTAACAGGAAAAGGCTCACCAACTGGAATATAATGCTTCCAAGGCTACAAATAAATGTCATGAATTAAAAACAAACAAATACAAACTAAATCCAATTTTAAAAGAAGATTCAACAATAGAAAAAAATATAATTGAAATTGTATGTACCTTACAAACTTTGTTAGGAATTTTAACTTTTTCTGCCTTCTGTACCTTACTTTTTTTGGGTTGACACCCAAATTCACTCCGTCCTCCACGACACGTTTTCTCTTACCTTCAACATCATCCACTCTAACCTTTTTACTCTTCTTTTTCTCAGATTGTCCAACAACAACCTTTCGAGATTCTAACACTTTAACACTGTTGGAACGATTTTGTTTACCCATATGTCATTCATCAATCGATTTCTCAACTAAAACCAGAGCTGAATGAGAAGATAAACTCATCGACCTAGTTTCTCTTCTCATGTTGCTCGGTTTCTCAATTGAAACAGACTTTGAATAAGGTGATAAACTCATCGAACGAGTTTGTCTTGTCATATTGCTTTGTTTAACAATTGAAACTAGGTTTAATGAGAAAATTTTAAAA